CGGGAGGTGAGCCGCAACGGCGGCGACCCCCACGCGGGGCAGCTCAAACTACAAACAGGGGCGGGCCCCTGCCCAGCGCTGGGCCGCGGGGGCAGGAGCCAGGAGGAAGCGGTCCAGCGCGCGGCTCGCCGCGCGACGGGCGGGGGGCAGGGCGCGGCGACCGCCGTGGAGTAGCAGAGCCAGGGGGAGGGCGGGTGGCGGCAGGCGGCCATCGATCGCGAACGCGTCAGAGGCGGCACGCCAACTGGGAAGGCGGCGCACCGCAGGGCGGGCAGCTGCTGGGACCAGGGGCCGAGCAGCAAAAGGAAGGGGGCGCGGGCGCCGCCCGGGCCAGGCGGCGCGCGGGGCCCCGAGCGGCGGGCGCGCCCAGGAGGGGGGCAGACTGGTAAAGGAGGAGCGGCGGCGCCCTCCCGGGTTGAAAGGCGCGCCGCGACCGCCGGCGGCGGAACCAGGCAACAGGGGAAGCGCCCAACTGGCGCGCAGGCTGGCGGATGACCTCCCCGATCGGAAAGCGCGCCGCGGTCATCGTCGCAGCTGGGTCGACGGGAGCGCCCAACTGGCACGCAGACCGGCGGGGAATGCACGCGGGCCACCTGGGCCAGGCAGCCGCGCGCCTTCGCGGGCGCCGAGGCGACGCGAGCGCCCGCGGGGCGCCCCGCTGCCCACCGGGCCCCCATCAACTGAGAGCCCCCGCAGCCGAGACTGGTCTCCTGCAGGCCCGGTCGCCTCGCTGCGCCGCCTGCCCCCCTGCCCATTGCCAGCTGTTTGGCCCCGGCGGCTGCGCTGCCGTCGCCGGACTGCGTGCGCCACGCGCGCTCGTCTGACAAGCTCCCAGCCGCCTCAAGCACGGAGGACGCCTCCTCTCCAAGCTCGGACTTCGCCTGACCCTTCGGCGGAAGTGCAAGCCTGTGTGGAAGTTCTGCACGGGCGGAGGGAGGTCCCTCCTCACGGCGGGGCGCTGGCCTGAGACTGCGTCGAGCCGCGCCACTGCTGCACGGACGGAGGGCGGAGGGAGGCCCCTCCTCACGGCGGGGCGCTGGCTCGAGACTACTACTTCGAGCCGTGCCACTGCTGCACGGACGGAGGGCGGCCCCCCCTTTCCGCACGGGGCTCCCGTCGTGCTGCAGGGCACAGCCAGCGCCCGGTCGCTGACTGACGCAGAGGAGGCGGACGTCGTCGCCGACGCTGGCCAGCTCAGCCACGAAGGCCTCGCAGAATTCTGAATGGCCTTTTACCAAATTGCATGTACTTTCGCCGCGGCCCTGTCCACAGCGTCGGCCGCGGGCCTCGCTCCATCCCTCGATGAAGAGTGCACCGCGAGACTGCTTCAGGCGGTTGACCACCCCTGCCCAGGTCTCGCGCCTGTCTCCGAGCCAGACCACAGCGGCGCCCACCGAACGCTGGACCCGGGGGTCCTGCACAGCCGATCCGGGCGATCGCCCCAGCCCCATCCAGCCGGAAGCGCTCCTGGTTGAGCCCCTCTCGCCCCAGGTCTGAGTGCGCCCCCGCCGAATGTCGCGGCCCCAGTTCCACTGAGACCAACTGCTCGCCCATCCGGAATCGCCTCGACCCGCGGAGGGGGGGGGCCAGGGCGCCCCGACGTCACGCGGCACGCATGTGACCGGCGGGCGGCCCGCGCTGGCAAACGCCCGCGCGGGCCCCAGGCCTGCCCCGACGGGCGCCCCCCGGGGGGGCCCGCATGGCCCACCCTGCAGGGAGTGCCAAGCCAGGTGAGCAGTGCTGGGTTCACTCCATAACGCGAGCCAAAACTCGCCGACGCGGACGCAAAGGCGCCGCCCTGGCTGGACTTCGCCAACCTGCCCGGGGTCCCAGGATGATTTCTCGGCCAGCGTCCGGGAAAAAGGCGCCACACCTGCTCGTCGCACTGCGCGCGGCATCCGGAAGCTCGCCGGTCGCTTACGTCGCCCCTGGCGAAGACATAGTCCCCGACACGGATGAAGGGGCAAGTCTCGCGTGCGACCCAGGAACCATGGGCTGGACCGCGGGGCGGCACCCCTACCGCAAACCAGCTCCTGCGAGCAATCCTCTGCCAGAGTCAACGGCGGGGTCGCCGGGGCGGTCGTCAGGTGGGATGGGAGGCGGTGCACTGGCACCGCGGTTCCTGCTGGAGCGCTCAGCGCTGGGGTCACAATCTGGGGGAAGGCCCCTGCTGGGGCCGGCGTCCCAGATTTTGCCGTCGTCGGGCTCGGGGCTTTCAACCAGCCAGAGGCACCTGGCGGCTGGCGTCCGCCGGGGTCTGGTCCATGGCCTCCCTAGATGGATCATCGCGCTGCCCATCCTGGTCGGCAGCGGGCCGCGCCCCGTGGCGGCCGGGGCCGGGGGGCCGGCAGAGCCGCGGGCCGCCCCTCCCCCAGGGTCGGAGTCGACGCGCGGGGCCCGCCCCACGCGTTCCAACGAGGCCGCGCCACGCGCGTCGCTCCAGGTTTGACGGGACTACGGTAGCCAGAAAGCTGGGCCGCGTCCGTATGCCTGATGTCCT